GAAAGAAAGAAAGAAAGAAAGAAAGAAAGAAAGAAAGAAAGAAAGAAAGACAAAAGAAAAGTCACAGGGAGAACACCATGTGAAGATAAAAGCAGGGATCAGGGTGGTGTTCTTGCAAGCCGAGGAATACCAAACACCACCAACAAAGCAAGAGGATAGGGGAGAGGCATAAAACAGATTTTCCTTCACAGGATGGTTCAAAAGGAATCAGCTCTGCTGACACCTTGATCCTTAATTTCTAACTTCAAGAACCATGAGACAATACATTTCTGTTGTTTCAGCCATTCACTTTGTGGTACCTGGATAAGCAGCCTTAGAAAACTAATACAGACCTCCAACTCACACCATATTTAAATATCAAAATAAACCAAATACCTACATGTAAAAGCTAAACCTATAAAACTCTCAGGAAAATAAATGAATAAATCTTAGTAACATTGGATTAGGTGATTATATCTTCAATATGACACCAAAGCACATGTAACAACAACAAAAAAAAGACAAACTGGAACTGACCAAAATTAAAAACCACAAACCGTGCTGCACAAACCATGAGAGAATTGAACAAAAGAAGAAAGGATCAGAGAAGATCTATAAAAACAACCAAAAAGTAATGAAAAGGCAATAAATACATACTTATTAATAATTACCCAGAACATAAATGAACTAGAAGCTACAATCATAAGACATAGGGGGTTAGAATGGATAAAAATGTAAGAGCCATCTATATGTTGCCTACAAAAGACTCATTTCAGATCTAAAGACACATGCAGATTTAAATGTGAGGGGATAGAGAAACATTTATCTTGCAAACGGATGTCAAAAGACAGCTGCGGTGGCAATACTTATATTAGAAAAAATGGACTTTAAAACAAAAATTGTAATAAGAGACAAAGGAGGACATTAATAATAAAGGAGATAATCCAACAAGAAGATAGAACAATTGTACAAATTTATGTAATGAACACATGAGCACCCAAATACATAAAACAATTAATAACAAACATTAAGAGAATCATAGATACTAATACAATGATAGTATGGGATTTTAACAGCCCACTTACATCAATGGACAGATCATCCAAACAGAAAATCAGCAAGGAAACAACGACTTTGAATGACACAGGGGACCAGATGGATCTAACAGACATCTTCAGAACATTATTTCCTAAAACAGCAGAATACACATTCTTTTCAAGTACATATCAAACGTTCTCCAGAATAGATGACACCAGAGGCCACAAAACAAATCTCAACAAATCCAAAAAGACTGAAGTCATACCATGCATTTTTTCTGACCACAACTCTATAAAAATAGAAATAAATCACAAGAAAAAATCTGGAAAGACCACAAATACATGGAGGTTAAATCACATGCTACTAAACAATGAATGGGTTAACTAAATAACCAAAGAAGAAATCAAAATTTACATGAAAACAAATGAAAATCAAAACACAATGGTCCAAAATTTGGGGGATGTAGCAAAAGCAGTTCTGAGGGAATTTTATAGTAATACAGGCCTACCTTAAAAAGCAAGAAAAATCTCAAATAAACAACCTATCCTTACACCTAAAGGAACTAGACAGAGAACAAACAAATCCCAAACCCAGCAGAAGAAAGGAAATAATAAAGATTAGAGTAGAACTAAAGGAAATAGAAATTAAAAAAAAAAAAAAAAAAAAAAAAAGGAACAGATCCATGATACCAGGAGCTGGTTCTTTGAAAACATCAACAAAATTGATAAACCTTTAGCCAGACTGATCAAAATAAAAAAGAGAGAGGACCCAAATCAACAAAATCAAAAATGAAACAGAAAAAAATAACAACCAACTCCACAGAAATACAAAGGACTGTAAAAGAATATTATCAAAAGTTACATGTCAATTATTGGACAACCTAGAATAAATTCTTAGAAACATAACTTACAATAACTGAAGCAAGAAGAAATAGAAAATTTGAACAGTCATTGGGCAATGAAATTGAATTTCAAAAAATTTCATTGAATTTGAAAACATTTCATTAAATTCAATTTCATTGCATTTCAAAAAATTCCCCAAAAACAAACATCCAAGACCAGACATTTTCATAGGTGAAGTCTAAGAAATATTTAAAGAAGAGTTTATATCTATTCTTCTCAAACTATTCCAAAAAAATAGAAGATGAAGGAAAACTTCCAAATTCATTCCATGAGGCCAGGATCACCCTGATACCAAAACCAAATAAAGACACCAGAAAAAAAGAGAACTAGAGGCTAATAACCCAGATAAAAATAGATGCAAAATTCCTCAACAAAATATGAACAAACTGCATACAACAATACATTAAAAATATTCATCAACATCAGATGGGATTTATTACTGGGATGCAAGTGTGGTTCAATATTTGCAAATCAATAAACATGATACACCATATCAATAAGACAAAGGGTAAAAACCATATGATCATTTCAATAGATGCAGAAAAAGTATTTGACAAAATCAACATCGATTCTCAATAAAAACTCTCAGGGCACCTGGGTGGCTCAGCTGGCAGAGCCTGCTTGGGATCTTCTTTCTCCCTCTCTCTCTACCCCTCCCCTGCTCATATTCTCTCTCTGTCTCAAATAAAATTAAAATAAACTCTCATCAAAGTAGGTTTAGAGGGTATATACCTCAACATCATAAAGGCCTTATATGAAAAACCCACATCTAACATCATCCTCGATGGTGAAAAACTAAGAGCTTTTCCCCTAAGACCATGAACACAATAAGGATATTCACTCTTGCCATTTTTATTCAACATAATACTGGAAATCCTACTCACATCAATCAGCCAAGAGAAAGGAATAAAAGGCATCCAAATGGTAAGGGCAACATAAATTTTTCACTATTTGCAGATGATAAAATACTATATATAGAAAACCCTAAAGACTCCACCAAAAAAAAAAATTGCTAAAACTGATAAATGAATTCAGTAAAGTTGTAGGATATAAAATCATTTATATATACTGCCTTTCTATATACTAAT